CTGAGAAGTAGGATTTACCCCCCCCCCCTCACACACACACCTACACCTAGGGTGCATAATGGTGACATTGAAAACAGCTGACAGAGAAAAATATGCAGGACATTTTGTCTCATTCTAAAATGAATCCTGTTCAACAATGTTTTAACCAAGGACATAATCATTCCTTTATCAGCGTTGTCAATATGTGGGTTCTCCCGGCCAATTTGTAACCAAGATTAGCCCACTTTATGCGGGGGGGGGGGTGGGGGCGCTCTGAGCCGGGCTGTCTTGCGGCCGGCGGCCCCCAAAATCAGTTTTCCGGTTGGCCTCAAGGCCGGATCCCACGCTAACGATTACGAAGGTGGGACCCCCCCGGGAGACATGAGTCTTCGTGACTCGACGTTCAAGAGATGAGCCCGGTAGCGTGTCAGTCATTCTCCGCTATGCTCAATACCCCCCCCCCCGCCCTTTTTCAGCCCCCTCCCCACACACCACTACAAAGCGAATGGTAATGTCTTAAATCTGAAATGGATAACTATTTTTGTGGCACGAATCAGAATTCAGAATCATGTCCTTCTCAATCGAGATTTAGAAACGTCCCTAGAATATTATACCGAGATAGATTTATTGAAAGACCCGCCAGCTCATTAGCTCAGCACACACAGAAAAACACACACACAAAAAAAGTCGTGCTTCAAATTTGTTTCTTCGCTGCTTCGTAACAAAAGAACAAAAGAATCAGTTAGTGTTAGAGAGAAGATTGGATGATATAGCCCAACGTTGTGCCTACTTTTATTTATCATGTCTTTTCATTTCAAGCTCCAGCAAACCTTGCTCCACGATTTCCTTCGCACAGCTGGAGCGCAGTCCTCCATTTATTGTCGTTTCAAAAGCTAAGGTCTCGATAGGAGTTGATTATTGGCCTAAGAAGTCTTCAATCACATTGTTCCCCCCCCCCCCTAAACAATGGTTTGGTGTTTTTGTCTAATGAAAATATATATATTATTTTAGAATGTCGTTTTTATTGTTAAAAAGGTGGTTCCAAAAAAAACAAAAAACCAAAAAAAAAAAAAAAAAACCATCGACTTGTCACCATATTTAAACACAAAAATGTCCACTTGTTGTCAAAACATTTGAGATTGATTGGTCTAGGAAGGCTTTTGAAAAAAACAACAAAACATGTACTTTCCTTTTTGGTTTCGTTTTGCCGTCTAAGAGAATAGGACAACGTTTTATTTTAGAAAGTCAGTAAAATACTGTTAATAGCGTGGTTCTCAAAATAGCTGGAATAGTCGTCGTTTAATGGCCTCCAAAACGGCACTCAAAACATATCTCTTTAAACTATACTACACCTGACTGATTCCCCTCCTCTGACCGATATACGATCCTGCTGGCTGCCGTCCATGGTTTGGCATGTAAAAGTTCTGGGGTGGGGTGGGTGAATATACATTGTTTTTGTTTTTTGTTTTTTTGTTACACGCTGTTCTTTATTTCATAAATGTATTTGATTTTAATGTCATGATTATGTCTCTTTTGCTAATATTTTTGTGAACAGCGCGGTGAGCCCATCCCTAGAGGCTGGGGTACCACGCTATATAAGACCACAAATTATTATTATTATTATTTAATAACCGTATTTAAATACAAAAACGCTAATTGACAAAACGTTTGAGATGTATTTGTCTAGGAAGGCTATTAAAAAAAGAACACAACAGCAGACGTGTACTTTCCCACATGGGTTAGCGTTGTCTTCTAAGAGAAAAGGAAAATGTATTATTTTTAGAAAGATATTTTACTGCTAATACGGTGGTTCTCAAAGCAGCTGGTCGTAAGGAAAAATGACCGTTTTACAAATACAACGACTCCACTTGTTGTCAAATCCATTATTGTGCCCAGGTTTTCTCAAAGGCGTGGTCAATTAAATTCCTACATTTACACTGATAAATAGCGATGAACGTAGACACTATATAGGCTGCCACCTGGTAACAAGTTTGAGATGCCTTTTTTTTTTTTTTTTTTGCTTCCGAAAACAGATATTCCTAAGCGATTTACGGGTTTGCGATTGATATCGCGTCCTATCACATTGAATTGAAATAGGTTGGGCTAGCTGTAATATTTCGCGTTGCCGCCTATGGGGAAGGCCCGGCTCCCTCGGGCACTGCCGTGCACACTTTATGAACGACTTTCTTTAAAGCACGATGAGAAAAACATGCCACAGGGGCACTTCGGTCCTTATTTCTGTAACAGGTTTCTCTATTAAAATATGTAATTTGACTGTGTTTTAGAGAGCTTGTTTACATCATATTTCTCGTGCGTGCCCTCTGATTGACCCCGCATGAGACGCTGTGTTCACAAAGGGGTGTAGCTTAGGCCTTTGAAGTAACTTGTTTACGCCGCCAACGAATAAAAATAATTAATCTGTTCCAAATAGTATTTGGTAGAATGATTGGGATTTTTCTCGAAATGTCTCGAAGGCAGGGCTTGGGCGTCGGTAGACCCACCTATATAAGGGATTGACAGGCACGATCTCTTAACATACGAGGCGTGTTTTATTCTTTGTGTATTTGTGTGCTCCTACTTATATGTGTTTATTTCGCATTATTTATTGGCATCATTATTTCTAATTGTATTAACTGTGTACCGGTACGAGATCCACCATACTGTAAGTTGAAGATTGTAATTTTATTTTATTTTCTTTTGTAATTATCTTTAGACATAATAAATCTTATTAATTGTAACTAGAAACTGTTTTGGGTCGTATCTTTAATATTGTTGATTCTGTGGTATCGTCCTTTGTTAGGCACTGATTACAACGAGCCAATTAAAATTAAAATAGGAGATTAATTTCTCCCAACACAAGTCAGTGCGTAACAGACTGTGTCAAAACAATTCTTATTTTTTTAATTTAAAAAAAAAAGATATTTTTTAACCGCACCTTGAACTTTCGATTCTTTTACTCTACACTTGTAACACAAGGACAAAAACAACGCAAACAAGTTAAAAACAAATCGTCAAGCCATTTTGGTTGAGATAATAGCCGGAAGTTCCGCCACTTTGTCAACTGTCAGTTATCCACTGAACCCTCTGGCGTCCTTGAACGGTATCTGCTTAAAACTCTCTAAGACATGACGTGTGTGTCCTGCGGCTCCTATCTTTGCGACACAGCGTGCACTCTAAAGATGCTAAATAAATGATTGTGTTCGAGGCTAGCTAACGGTGAGGTTTGATTGATGACGCACTGTGTCTTTCTTTGGCTGTTGTTTCCCTTCTTACTCTAGATTTGTAAGTTCTTTGGTCGTTTTATTACTTCATTAAAACAACAACAAAATTATTTAAAGAAATACTTTCTCTCAAATACGAGTTTAAACACAAAGCAATAGAAGAACTTAATTTAACATTTCTTAAAATCCATTACTCAAATACAGTCTGTGCAGAAGTGTAGAAGAGCTCTCTATGTAACCAAAGGATTTAAATTAAATGGAGACGAAGCATAAATATTTTTTTTTTTTAAATTTTAATTAATTTTTGAAAATATTTTCTGTAAGCAATTTATTTGTGTCATGAATGTTAAAAAAATGACAAGAAAATAATTTTCACTGTCTATAGCTTTTAAACTCGTCTTTGATAAAACGTCTCTTTCGGAAAAAAAATAATTATGTAAATGTTATGTTATTTTCTACTTTATAGTATTACAATTGTTATCTTTAATATACCGACAAATATGCATAATTTATTTTTCCAACAACGAATACTTACAAAATCCCGACTTAAGTGACTTAACTCTTTAGCCAGGCATACAACTAAAAAAGTAGAATTTAACGGCTGTGACGTTTTATAACCCAGGTCACCGGCGGTCCGTTGTGCCGTAGCTAATTGCCATATTATGCTCTGCCACCCCACCCCCACCCCCCTAAACACCTTCTTAATCAGCCAACCCCAAAACCCCACCGCTCTCATCTAAAGCCCCCCCCCCCCTCATTTACCCTTCTCCCGCCGTTCACCAAACGAACCGGACGCGATCAACCACGATCAACTGAGCGAAAGGGACATGTGTGACCAAAAAAAAAATTATGCTAAAAATTCATTAACTCACAAACCTCATTGATTTGTGAGTAGAAAGAAAGTCTTTTCAAAAATTCCAACTCATTAGTGTAAATGTCAAGTAGATTAATTTAAATATTAGACACGAACAATTTGTGTCAATAAAACAATATTTGTTTCAGCCTTAAATGATGATTTCACAGAATACAAATGTAAACGTTTCGACAAATGTCTTCATCAGTAAAAAACAACAACAACAAAAAAAACACCATTTAAAAATGTATAAATTAAATTTACATAATATATATATCTACATACATCCTACCTAAAAAATAGAAAAGAATAAGAGTGGGCGCAAAAACAAAGTGAAGAAGAATGGAAAGGAAGCGAGTGGAAATTTAAAAAAAAAAAAAAAAAAAAAAAAAAAAAAGGGAAAATTTAAAAAAAAAAAAAAAAAAAAAAAACACCTTTCCCAACCAATAAAGGGGTGGGTAAAGGATGACACAATACATTTAATCGGCGCCGTCACTAGCAAGGCCATACTGGGGGGGGGGGTTGAGGGTGCGGGGGAGACAAGAGGTGGTGGCTAAAAATAATTGTACATTGCAGTGAAAAATAAGGCCAAGGCATACGCTTTACGAGGCTACACTATAACAGGGCCATTTGAGATATCACTAAGTAGATCTAAGGGTGTGTTCATAAATTAACATCCAATAAGATGATTTACAAGAAACTAATATCACCAACTTATATTTCCAAGAGTGTCCAAATAATATTTGTATAACAAACTAGCAATATTTCCTGGCGTATCTAAACAATAGACTGATTAACACCAATCAATATAGTACATCCAGGCATATCAAATTGATGATTGTATAACAACATAAAACATTTACTTTTTTTTCCCAGGCGTATCAAATGGATGACATCAATGTGGACGCTTACATTGTCGTGTTCTCCATCGTCGACCGGAATTCATTCGTGGTGGCCAAGGACCTGTCGCGCCAGCTTCGCGTGAACATGGGAACCGACCGCGCCATCATATTGGTGGGCAACAAGGCGGACCTGGTCCGCAAGAGACAGGTCGCAATAGACGGTGAGTTTGTGTCTGGAGGCTTAGTCTGGCCACGTTTAGGAATGTCTCTTTAAATGTCTCGTTAACAATTCGTTAAAAAAATAATTTAAAAAAATTGTCTTTAATTTTGTTTTTTTTCAACTAATATCCACCAAAACTATTTATAAAACAATTTGGCATTGTTTTATTTTTTTTTTAAATGAAGAGAGGGGTGAGTGGGTGCAGCATGTGGGGTCAAAGCTGCGAGATCGGTGAGCTCAGAAAGATGGCCAGCATCATTTAACATAGCTGCTCCGACCTTGTTACGGTTAATTTATGCACGATAATTAGAAGGTTTGGGCGAAAAAGGGGGGGGGGGGGGGCAAAATACCATAGATTATTTAAGAAAACATGTGTCTATTAAAAAAAAAAAAAAAAAAAGAGGGGGGGAAAAAAAAAAAGGAAAAAAAATGGAAAGGAAAGGAGAGGAAAATTAAAAAAAAAAAAAAAAAAAAAAAAAAAAAACTGTAAATGTCAAGAATATAAAGTCTCAAGAAAAAGAGATTAATGTGTAGCGCATTCAACTTTCAAAGGGGAAATAATGCATTGCCCATTTGGGCCTACGAACTGTATGGACATTTCTTATTCATGAAATTGTGTTCTTAAAAACGCGTTGCTTGATTTAAAAAAAAAATCTTTTTCAACATTACAAATTAGATGAATCATTTAAATTATAATTTTGTCCTTGTATTTTATTTTTAAATATCTATATCTAGACATCATTATGTAGTCCACTTCCTCTTTAGACCGTCTCATTCGTTACATTTAATCAACACTATAACTGCAGCTATTTATTTCCTCGACAGCTGATGGCGAGCTGACGGAGAAGACCGTGGTCCCGGTGCTGCTGGACGGAGATGAATCCATTATGGAATTCATAGATGGAGCTGATGTAAGTTGACATGCGCAACAACACCAACATCGCTACATTTAGCTATTGCTTTTTAAATCCCCCCCCCCTCATAGTTTTTTTGTGGGTGGGAGCGCACTGTATCACGGCACACTATTAATCTCTTCATCGCTGTCCTCAAATTGCAACCGGGCGTCAGGCCTTGAAATGTAGATTTAAAGGTATATCTTTTTTCCCCATTACTCGATTTCTAAAAATGATTTTTCCATTACTTGATGTCTAAACATGATTATTGCATTATTTGGTTTCTAAATATGCTCTTCCATGTGACCCTGGGAACTAAAATGTTACGGGCGTCTATCTGAAACTATGTGTCGTAACACTGACGTAAGGTATTTAGAATTAGTCGAATACTCCTTTACATCGTGGGTTATTCTATATATTAAGGTTACAACGGAGTAAAATTACGACGTGTTTTCTAAACTTTAAGAACTTTCGTCTCTTTGACCAGGCTATATCTTTAAGAGCCTGTTACGTCGTGATATGGTTTTGAAAATGTAATCTGTGTTAAGGTTCAGCTCGTAGAATACACACTGCGTAACAAAGGACTGAGAAAAAAAAACACCATGCAGAGAGAACGATACCAAAGCTGGTGATACTAACAATATTGACTTTCATTATTTATTTATTTATTTATTTAGGCATTTTTATATAGCGCTTATCATAAAGCTCTAAGCGCTTTACAATTATTAAAACATGTAAACTAAGTAAAATAAAAATGAGACATTATACAATTAAATTTCTATTAAAACAAAATACAAATTCGAATGCAGAAACAAACAAAAAATATCAACTTACAGCACAGCGCGTGAAAAGGTACACTCTTCACAAATGCAAATAATAATTTAGATATAACATTATAAAATGTCTCGTATATGTAGGGAAACATAACAAAAAAAAATATTCCTCACTCTCTTTCTCTTTTGCTCTGTCTGTTAGTTAACCTATTGGCCTAAATATAGGGATTAGATGAGAACGGTCAAGGGAAGAAATTAAAGAGATTCTAGAAAATGGCATTCTTTCAAACAAATAGAGCGCATTCGAAATTTAAAAAAAAAAAAAAAAAAAAAAAACACCTTTCCCAACCAATAAAGGGGTGGGTAAAGGATGACACAATACATTTAATCGGCGCCGTCACTAGCAAGGCCATACTGGGGGGGGGGGNCGAGGCTACACTATAACAGGGCCATTTGAGATATCACTAAGTAGATCTAAGGGTGTGTTCATAAATTAACATCCAATAAGATGATTTACAAGAAACTAATATCACCAACTTATATTTCCAAGAGTGTCCAAATAATATTTGTATAACAAACTAGCAATATTTCCTGGCGTATCTAAACAATAGACTGATTAACACCAATCAATATAGTACATCCAGGCATATCAAATTGATGATTGTATAACAACATAAAACATTTACTTTTTTTTCCCAGGCGTATCAAATGGATGACATCAATGTGGACGCTTACATTGTCGTGTTCTCCATCGTCGACCGGAATTCATTCGTGGTGGCCAAGGACCTGTCGCGCCAGCTTCGCGTGAACATGGGAACCGACCGCGCCATCATATTGGTGGGCAACAAGGCGGACCTGGTCCGCAAGAGACAGGTCGCAATAGACGGTGAGTTTGTGTCTGGAGGCTTAGTCTGGCCACGTTTAGGAATGTCTCTTTAAATGTCTCGTTAACAATTCGTTAAAAAAATAATTTAAAAAAATTGTCTTTAATTTTGTTTTTTTTCAACTAATATCCACCAAAACTATTTATAAAACAATTTGGCATTGTTTTATTTTTTTTTTAAATGAAGAGAGGGGTGAGTGGGTGCAGCATGTGGGGTCAAAGCTGCGAGATCGGTGAGCTCAGAAAGATGGCCAGCATCATTTAACATAGCTGCTCCGACCTTGTTACGGTTAATTTATGCACGATAATTAGAAGGTTTGGGCGAAAAAGGGGGGGGGGGAGAAAATACCATAGATTATTTAAGAAATCATGTGTCTATTTAAAAAAAAATTAAATTAATAATTTCAAAAGCGTTTCTGCATGACTCACACGATGATCCTAATTCTCAGACTGTCATCAAATGTTTTAGAATTAATAATTTTTAAAAAATACTTCAAAATTACTATTGTAATTTAGAGCCTAAAATCTTTGATTTTGGTAACATTATAAATCCATCTGAGGGGAGGCTATTTGTGAAACCAGCCAACTAACTACTGGATGATGGTTGAGAAAAAGCTGCGTTTTTTGTTTGTTTTTTTTTTTTTTGGTTGTTTTTTTTTAATTGTAAATTTAATCTTTTTTAAAAAGCAAATGAAGCAATTTATAGTTTTGGAGTTAAACAAAGATTTTAATTCATTCAATACGTAGATCTAGTAGACTGAAGATTGACACGTAACAAACCAGCCAAAATGGATAACTCGTTTTTTGTTGTTTATTTTTTTAAATGTGACTTACAATGCGCAAGTTATCTCTTTGTGTATTTTAACAACGGGAAGTGTAAGATTGTTTTTTTTTTCCTTTTCTTTTTTGTCTTGTTTTTCAAAAAAATTTAACCTAAATTCAAATGTAATTTTAAATTTCGTCAACAAAAATGTTTTTGGAGGACATTAAAAAAACAACAACAACAACAAAAAAAAACAAACAATGCCCCTTTTCTGAGCTATTCAAAGACATGGCAACAGATGCAAAGAAACAGGAAAAAAAAAAAAAAAATGCCCCTTTTCGGAACAATTAAAAAAAAAGGAAAAAAAAAAAAAAAAAAAAAAAAAAAAAAAAAAAAAAAAAAAAAGAATGATAAAATAAAATAAGTTGTTTACTCAAACCCCCGAAACTTTGCTTGTTATTCTCGTCTCAGCACATTTAGACGGACTCACAGTCGTGCACTTTTAGTCGCTTCCCCATTAGATTCAAGTCTATAAATAGCATCATCTCATAAGTGTGTCACATTTCGATTTGGATTTCTTTTCACGTGATATCTTTCTATGATTTTGATTTGACTCCTTTATTATATAATGCTGATATTTCAAGTCTTGATCTAAGCAATACAGTCAGTTTATTATTTTTTTTTAAAATATAAATTATTATCCTCTGCTTTTCTGATAAGGGACAAGTCTGACCAGCGTAGGTTACTCCTGGTCTTATGATAGTGCCCTGTATTGTTTTCTTTGTTCCCCTTGAGATGATTGATTATATGAACATTTAATAAAAATTTAGCAGACATCGATAATTGAGTCTAAATGTTGGGGTTGACCCCTTCCTGATTATCGACATATTGGGATTTTCGATTACGTGAGCAGGTGTTGTTATTACGACAGTGGCGGTTGACCATTTGACTTGTGACACACTACTGTCATGGAGTCGCCACAAGTCGCGCTGAAAGATACGAATGCTTTCACTTTCCATCACTTTGAGATTCTCCCATAGTAATTTATATTTGTTAAAAATATTTTCTTTCTTATTCGGCTATCTGGAATTTTCAACGACCGGAATATCGACGTCTTACTGTATCTTTAAATCTTCAATTAACAAAAAATTGACACTTTTATTTTTGGCACATCACGTATTTAGAGAAAATTGGGGGGGGGGGGAATTTTTTTAACCTCCCCCCCCCTCCCCCCAGAAAAAATGTAAAAAAAATATTCTAATCTTTAAATCTTCAATTAACAAAAAATTGACACTTTTATTTTTGGCACATCACGTATTTAGAGAAAATTGGGGGGGGGGGAATTATTTTAACCTCCCCCCCCCTCCACCCAGAAAAAATGTAAAAAAAATATTCTTACTACAAATTCATGCATTCTTATGTAATGGGATCTTATGCAAGCTCTAACCTCCTTATCTTATTCAACACTATTTTTTCCACAGATGCCATGCATGTGGCCTCCATGTTACGACTTTCTTATCATATTCAAAAATGTTTCTCCCACATTTGCCATGCACGTGGCCTCCATGTTACGACTTTCTTATCATATTCAAAACTGTTTCTCCCACAGATGCCATGCACGTGGCCTCCATGTTCGACTGCAAGTACATAGAAACATCGGCCGCCCTCAACCACAAAATCGACGAGCTGGTGGCCGGGACCTTGACCCAGATACGCCACCAGCTCCTGCCCCCGGGCACCGCCCTCACGCTCCCTCCACCGACCAAGTCCAGGAGCCGGACCCCCTCCCCGGTGTCGTTCTTCAACAGACTCTTCAAACGCAACGTCAAAGGATCGGCGTCTTGCGAGGGAATCTTCATGAAATGAACGAACCAGACCCCCGGACAATCAAACCTGAAGTTCTAAAAAGAGAGTACACAGCTGCATTGGATCAGCATCAGAGAACACGACAGAGCACAGTGCACAGATACAGAGCGAAATGTAGTGCACTAAGAATAAGCCAAACAATCACGAGAGGAGCGACACTGAGCGTGATTTCTGTTCGAGTTCCCCCCCCCCCTTTCCACTTCTTTGAGACGTATCAACCAAATAGATTCAGATACAGGAAAAAAAAGGGAGGCGGAATGCATTGTGGTAACAAATATCTCCTTGACTCTTCTGTTTGATGACGTAATGGAGTACTTATCACGTGTTGCCCTTATTTATGTATTTATTTATTTCAAATTTACCCTTGAAGTGATGCCACAAACCTAATGTTACCGAAGAGATAAGAAATTTGTTGTTTAAATGTAGCTCTAAATCAGGTGATCAGAACCCCCCCCCCCCTTTTTTTTCCCCCACCCCCCCCCCCCCCCCCCCCCGTGATTGAGACTCCCTTGGCCTGACTTGTTAAAAGCCAAAAGCTCACATTAATCACTGATCACCCCCAAAACGTTTTCACCATTCCAGACAGAGTTGTCCATGTTGTTCTCTCCCCCGGAGAATTGCAATAAGGATTTCTACTCAAAGTGTTGTTTTCCAGAGTAAAAAAAAAAAGAAAAATACAATTGTTAAAAATGTACAGAATGTCAAACATTCGAATAGATACTTAGATCATTTCTTTTTGTTTTGTTTTTGTATCGCTTGCCCCACAATTATTCTGGTCGCTTAGAGAAGCTTAAACAGTTTTGCTCAGGTCTCCGTGTGTAAGTTTTAGGGTATCAAATGATTGAAGGGCGGACAGCGTTTACGGGAAATATTGAGTTACGTCCCCGCGAGGATGAGTTGTCTGACCAGTCGTTTGTTGGACAGGGAGGGGGGGGAACGTTTCGTATAACTGTTTGATGAGTAAACGTCATAGAATAGACACGCGAGGGCAGAGATGTACAGAGATGTACAGAGATGTACAGAGAGGTTTACATTGAAACCAAAGAGCCGTGCTAACTCCACTTGACAACGTCCTCAAATTTAAAAGAATCTTTACAAACTTTCCATGGACATAGTGCTTTTTTGGGTTGGTTTTTTTGAACAGCTTATTGATTTTTTTCCATTAATATTAAGAAACCAAGTCTTAGAATAAAGTTTACGAATCCTCTTCTTAGTTGAAACTAATATAATAACAGTTTATTGAGATAAATTGAAGATAATATAATAGCAATTTATTGACATAAATTGAAACTAATATACTATGGACATAATTTGAAAGGAAAACACAAATGAAAATTCTCAAATGACTTATATAAATGTATATTTTACGAAAGAAAATTAAATCCTATTTGAGCTGACATCCGGTTTGAATACAATCGAAAGAGCTAAGCATACCTTCACAATGAAATGGTTCTCATTTATTTATCGCGACCCCGATTCCTACACCCAAGAATCTGCGCAACATTCAAAGACAAATATCCGTTGTTCTTTCTTTTTCAATACAATTTGGGGAGGGGCTGTAGAAAAAAGGGGAAATGTGGGAAAAGGTGGGGGGGGGGGAGAAGTTAGAATACAGCATCTATCCAACCGAAATAAAAATATATAAAAATAAAAAAAAAACAGCGAAGAAATTGGAAAGTTTAACAAAAATATATATAATAAAGCAATTTTCTTTCTTCATTCAGTAATCCTCGATGTAATCCAATTCTCTAGGATGACGCATGCTGCTTATTTCAATTTTACACTCTGTGGGCGTGAGTATTACCGAGAGGAAATTGAAAGGAGGAAAATGTAAGCTAGGATTAATTGTTGGAGGGGGGGGTGAACTGTTGCATTTGTTGGAAGTAGGGGTATGGGGAGTCTTGGGGTTATGTGAGTTGCAAGGGTGGCTATGGGGTGTTATGGTGAATGGGAGGTGATAGGGGAGAACATGGGGGTGTTTGGGTGCATGGGAGTTCCCAGGGTGGCTATGGGGTGTTATGGTGAATAGGAGGTGATAGGGGAGAACATGGGGGTGTTTGGGTGCATGGGAGTTCCCAGGGTGGCGATGAGGTGTTATGGTGAATGGGAGGTGATAGGGGAGAACATGGGGGTGTTTGGGTGCATGGGAGTTCCCAGGGTGGCTATGGGGTGTTATGGTGAATGGGAGGTGATAGGGGAGAACATGGGGGTGTTTGGGTGCATGGGAGTTGCAAGGGTGGCTATGGGGTGTTATGGTGAATGGGAGGTGATAGGGGAGAACATGGGGGTGTTTGGGTGCATGGGAGTTCCCAGGGTGGCGATGAGGTGTTATGGTGAATGGGAGGTGATAGGGGAGAACATGGGGGTGTTGGGTGCATGGGAGTTCCCAGGGTGGCTATGTGGTGTTATGGTGAATGGGAGGTGATAGGAGAATATGGAGAGTTTTTGGTTGTACGGGAGGTGAAAGGAAGGCCGTGGGTTATTTAGGTGTATTAGAGGTGCAAGAAAGGCTATGAGTGAATGCGAGGTGTGAGGCCAGGTATGGGATATTTTGTGTGTGTACCGGCCGGAGTGGAGAGGCAAAAGATCAAAGGTCCGCGAATAATTTTGTTTGCCTTGGTGAATTAGTTATGGGAAGAAACACAAAGGATGAAAGGGCCACACGATGAAATCTAACAGAAATCTAAATGTTCCCTGAGTGGAATTTCTCTTTGTTTTTTTTTTTGTTTGTGTTTTTTTTTAAATGCAACGTTACATCATTGGGTTTTAATTAAAACTCACTGGGCTGGATGTATTCTGGGTATTTTAACGTGGTTTCTCCAAAATGTGAGTTGTGAGTACAATCTCATGTTAAAATAGATATCATGTTTTGGAAATTGCGCTGTTGTATAATTTTTGGAAATAGTATGTCATAAAATTCTTTGAATGCGTTTCTGGTAGGAGTCAGTATGAAAACACTTTTGAATTCTTTTACATCAAACAACCTAAACAAATATGTTTTTTTTTTAACAAAGAAGAAAGTTTTTTGTATTCCTCCCTGTTACACTTACATTACTTCGGACCTCAAATTAGTTTTCTTAGCGTCGTTTGCAAAGGGGCACACTTTGTGATGCTTGATTCCATGTACATTAGTCACGTGCTGAAGTAGAGGACACATTTTGTGATTCTTCATTCCAAGTACATTAGGCACGTGCTGAAGTAGAGGACACATTTTGTGATTCTTCATTCCAAGTACATTAGGCACGTGCTGAAGTAGAGGACACATTATGTGATTCTTCATTCCAAGTACATTAGGCACGTGCTGAAGTAGAGGACACATTATGTGATTCTTCATTCCAAGTACATTAGGCACGTGCTGAAGTAGAGGACACATTATGTGATTCTTCATTTCAAGTACATTAGGCACGTGCTGAAGTACATATTTTGTGATGCTTGATTCCAAGTGCACTAGGCACATGTTTAAGTAGAGGACAAACATTATGATGCTTGATTCCAAGTACATTAGGTAGATGTTGAAGTAGAGGACACAGTTTGTGATGCTTGACTCTAAGTACGTCATGCACGTGCTGAAGTAGAGACCCCTAACCCCACATCAAAAATCACCTCTACCGGTATTCGGGGAACACATTCACACTAGTGTGATGGTCCAAACTGAAAGCCGTGAAGAAATTGCATCAGAGCATATTTGGAATCCCTTGTATTCGCCACGGACTTGATGGGGATGTAATTAAATTGGTGAATCAAAGAGCCCACTAGTGGTTTCAAGGATAAAAGGATTTTTTTTAGTGTTTTGTTTTTAATAATATGAAGCTTTATTTAGCATGGGACTGAAATAAATTTGCTATTTTTAGTCAAATCAGTTTGTTTGTCTCCCGAACGGAAGTGATTTACTTTTTTACGGATATGGAAAGGACGCGTCCTTCACAGGGATACAGATCTTTCATCTGTTCAGACTATTTACAGTAGGCCACAAAACAGCTGTTAAGTTTTAAATAAAGAACATATGATAAATTGGTGAAAAGAAAATGATGTTAGATTTCTTGATACTTAATTATTTAAATAAATAATGATTTTGGGCGACATTTGATTGATTATAGAAATTCTATTTTATTTATTATTGATGACATATGTCTTAACAACCCCCCCCCCCAACCAGGGGCATCATTCCAGGTTTTTCAGGGGGGGGGCAAAACTTGGTAGGCTTCTTAAGTTGTTTATTACTGGAGCCGTCACAGTACATAGCAATTTAAATAAAACCTGCTAATTAAGGGGGAGAGAGGGGGCAAAAGCCCCACCTTGCCATACCCAAAAAACGTTCCTGGCCCCCCCCCTTTTTTTTGCCTCCACAGCATTGTTTGTTTGTTAGACATCCTAGAACTTCAGTTTCGCAGTGTCATGTCGTAACTTTCTGCTCTCATCGAGGGAAGATTTAGAATAGCCAACTCCACACCAGACACTTTTAAGTAGGCAAGAAGATTTCTGAAACTCCAAGATTTCTAGCGTCTCGTTTCGCTTCAAAATCATTTGACAGTTCGTTTTTTTTAATGACAAATATTTTGACGTCCCAGGCGACCCTGGGAACAAGGAACACGAATGAACAACGTTTAAAAAAGTTCATCTCAGTGCAAAGACTCGAATCAAAATTCAGAAGATAAGTTTCATTGCACGTTCGTCGACATCGTAATCGATATTTTAACTGTGTCTTCGGTCGAGAATAACTGCGGTCATAAAGTCGGCCCCTTTCGAGCCCCGGAGGGACGGTCATAAAACTCGACCTGGTTTGGAATCACGCCCCTGTAATAAACGACCGCCAAGACCTCGTCCAGTTTCTTGAGCCGCGAGTCTATTCGTGGCGTCACGATACTATTTTAAGCCTCAATGCCAGTCTCAGCAAACAGCCGGCTGCAGAGCTCCGTCTTGTCATTCCGTTGTTTAGTCATAACCGGAAGAACGACATATCCGATTAACATGGAGCGGTTCTAAAACTTTTTTTTTTTTTTTGTGTGTGTGAGTGTGTCAAAGTGGTTTAAAAGGTTTGGGACAAAGCTCTGCCATAG